TCCCCATCATCTGCAAGATTGCGTAGATCCGAAAGCACGGCTCGGCGAGGTCTGCCTGCTAACTCCGCATCATCTGACGACGCTATCATCATCATCATGGACAATTTACCCGTTCTTCCGTTATTTGCGTCGTGCTGGTGGTGACAAAAGTTGCAATAGTGCACCAAACGTTAAGACTGGCTTCCGCTATGAACTATTTGGTCAGGCGTCAGGACAGGGAGCGTTACGGGGGGGTGCCTGTGGTAGCGGCCGCCGTGGAGGGCCATCCTGTACCGGAACTCGAACCTACTAAACCCACAGGTTTCCATTAAGATTAATTTTCTTACTTTTTTTTCCCTTTCAATTTTTTTTTTTTTTTTCCCCAATACTCTTAATTAACTTACTTGCTTTTGCCCCCTGTAGAGCGCGTGGGTTCGGGTTCCGATTGTTTTGTTTTTTTTATTGGTTTCTTTTGCAATTTTCTCCCCCCCCCCCTTTTTTTAAGTTTTTTTTTGTTTACAATAAACCATTTTTTTTGCATTCCCCCACCCTTGTTCACCATTGTAACTTTTTTTTTTCGTTTTGTTCATTTTTTTTTAAATCTCTTTGTGGCCATGTAAATCTCTCCTTTGTACTTTGTTTTTGCTTTTTTTGCTTTTCGAAGGACCGTTTTTGCATTGTTCCCCATGTTTTTATGTTCAATGCTGCCATTTGTTTGTTTTTTTCTTTCCATTTCCATTCCACTTTTTTTCTCAGGCAGCCCCCTTCCGGGACATTTGTATAGTTCCAGTCCTAATGTGAGTCCTCAGTAGTTTTAACGTAAATTTTCTTTCGAGTTTTGGCCGTAGCTTCACATTTGTTAACCTTTTTTTTTTTATTCTCACTCTCTCACCCCCTAAATTTCGCTGAACCACCCTTGCCCATCCCTCTCCGAGGCACACACAGCAACACTTACACACTTTTCACCTTCGTTGTGGATTTCACATCCGGCCGTGCGTGACTTGCGGCTTTCTTTGTTTGGTTACTTTCGCATTGTGAAACTAACCATTTTTTTTAATTAACTTCATTTTTCCAAATTTAACATAACCATTTTCTTTTAACTTCATCAAAATCAATGCTAACCTCTTTTTATAACTTTAACTGCGGGCATGAGGCCATGCCTTTCTTTGTTTGGTTATGTTAGCATTGTCAAAAGTGACCGGCAAAT